CTACCCAAGAGCCGTACTCATAGGAGGCTTGCAGTACTACATTGGATTTCTTGGACAGTGGAAAAGATTTGGAGTCAGAAGATCTGGTGTTGAATCTTGGCTCTGTTATTGCTACCAGTGTGACTTCAGTTGGGCAGGTCACCCCCTCAACCTCTCTGGACCCACGTCTTCTCATTTGTCAAATCGGAGGTTTGCACTTGATGGCTTCTGAGGTCCTTCCTAGCTCTAAAGCTATGAACCCAAGATTTAGGGATCAGTGGAGGACTTTTAAGTTCTGGGTCCTTCAATGTTTGATCCATGGATTGTCCAAGTTAGAATGAAATATCCTATTGATCACTTGAGCTGGGACTAGAGTAGGTAAGAAGGATAGCTGCCCAGGGCACATTAGTCCATGGGGTACAAGGAGGAGCACTTTGTAATAGAGTTTTAAAAATGAATGCAGGTCTTTACATTGGCTTTTAGCCTGAAGGCTGGGAAATGCTAGTGCACATATTTGCAATGCCAGAAAATTCCTCTCTGTGGCAGGTAGGGGTTTATTGTGCAATATCTTCTGTGTTCTAGTGAAGGCTTGAAGCCTCAGGTAGACAATAATGCAGAAAAGGGGACGCAATTTTCCAAGCTTGCCCAGGGACAGAGCCTTGTCCTGGGCCTGCCCGCCATCTTATCCTCCCTGCTCACACGTCCAGGTCCTGCCCTTTCACTCCTTCTGTGAGAATTGGAGTTGCCCTTCTCATTTCCCACCACAGAATCATGGGAAGGGGGGCGGAGCCGAGACCCCAGGCTCTAGGGGAACGGTCCGGTGGCCTCCTCCCCGCATCTGCCAAGTGGGAGTCTTCAGTCCAGAGCTGAGATCCGCCTCAGACATTTGTAAAGCACCAGCTAGAAGCAAGGCAGAGTGCCTGGTGCTGCTGATTCAAAGACCTAGAAATAAGACCCCGCCCGTGTCCGCAGGAGGGCAATGGGGAAACGGGGCATATCACAATATAGCGGAAAGGGCACTGGACTGGGGGTCAGATGACCCGCCTCTGCCAGCTGCCCACCCGTGTGACCTTGGGAAAGTGACTTTACTTGTCTGGGTCTCAGTTTTCTCATCTGTAAAATGGGCAGGTTGAGCTGGATGACCTCTGGGGTCCCTCCCAGCTCTATCTATAGTCTTGGAATTCTATTAGAATGGAAAATCCTTGCTAAGAAGCACTGATTTGTTCTTTATATCCTCAGCCCTGTGCCTGTGGCTTGGTGAAGTAGCAGTACTTAATAAGTGCTTGTGAATGGATTGATCACCCAGTTCTGGTCGTGTTTATTCTCTCTCATCCTGGATCCTATACAAGGAACAATGTGATAACAGCAAAGGAAAGGTCCAGAGGAAAGACTAAGGACATTTGAGGAGGGAGAAATCGATTTCAGCTTGCAAGGGATATCAGGGAGTGCTTCATGGAAGAGGTGGCATTTCAATTAGGCCTTGAAGGAAACAAAGATCTTTTACTAATAGATGTCTGCATAGTACTTTAAATTTTGTGAAGTGCTCCCCGTAGATTGTCTCCTCTGAGCGTCCCAACAACCTTGTGAGGTAGGCACTAGCCATGTTATTACCCCCATTTTACAGATAAGCAAACTGAGTCTCAGGGAGGTAAACTGAATTGTTAGTGAATGCCGGAGGCAGGATTTAATATAGCTTCAAGACATTATGTTCTATCTACCCTCCCAGTGGTGAAGATAACAGGAGCATGTTAGAGGGAATCCAAGTGCATGGAAGCTGAAGAATGTAGGATGAGGTGGGGAAGAGAGTAGATGAAGCTGTTCTGCTTATCAGACCCCACAGAAGTGGATTGTTCAGTCCCATCCAGTCCAGTGCAGCCCAGTCCAATCCATTCCAGTCTGATCCAATTCAGCCCTGTCCAATCCAGTCCATCCCTGAAGGCTGGGTCAGTCCAGGTCCGTCCCGTCCAGCCCAAGGGGTACTTATTGTAAGTTTACAGTGTGCCGAGCACTGTGTCCTGTGGTAGAACAGGAAGACCAGACAAAAGCAGTCCAGTGTCTTGAAGGAGCTTACTTCTTGTAGGAAGTGCAGAGTAGGGAATGGGGGTGGGGAGATGGCGTGTAAACACAGAAGTATATACGTGATAATGGGAGGAGGAACACGAGCAGCACATTTGTAGGCCTTTACTACATTGGAGGGGCAGCTAGGTGGTGCAGTGGATAGAGCACTGGCCCTGGAGTCAGGAGGACCTGAGTTCAAATTTGGTCTCAGACACTTACTAACTGTGTGACCCTGGGAAAGTCACTTACCCTGTTTGTTTCAGTTTTCTTCTCTGTCAGATGAGCTGGAGAAGGAAATAGCAAGCCCCTTCATTATCTTTGCCAAGAAAACCCTAAAAGGAGTCACAAAGAGTTGAATACAACTGAACACCAACAATAAAAATCCCATTGGATAGGACCATCGGCTGTTGGAGCTAGAAGAACCCAATCCTTTCATTTTACAAATGAGAAAAAGGCCCGGAGGAAGTGGCTTTGATGGAAGTGAGGGATTCTAACCCGCAGAAGAGGGGGCAATGTATCTCAGATTTGGAGAAATAGCCTATGAGAAAGTATGAAAGTGGAATATGGCCCCTGAAGTAGGCAGACAGAACAAGTGTGGGGGACTTGGCCTATTTGACTGGAACATAGATTGTGTGAAGTGGAGAAATATGAAATCAACCTGGAGAGGTGGGCGAGATAGCGAGAGGTGAAGGGCTTTGAGTGATACCCTGAGGAGTTGTCGGCTCACCCAGGCAGCAGTAGGGAGTTACTGAAAGCTTTTGAGCAGGGGAGTAACGTGGACTTAGGGAAGAGGATCTCAGCATCTGTGTGGCGGGTGGACTAGAGACGACGGAGCCATAAGTCTTCCCAAACTCCCTAGCTGTGATTGGTGTCTCCAGCAAGGAAGCTGCCCTGAGGAAGTAGTAACGATTCACATTTCTACAGTGCTGACGTTTACAAAGTGTGTTCCTAAGAAATACAACTGGGATCACCCCCGTTTTACAGATGATGAGGTTGAGTGTCAGGTAAAGTGACTGAGGGAATCTCACCATTCGTACTGAGGTTTCTGGATTCTAATTCTATCCTGCCAGTTCTTCTTCCTATAAAGACTACTCCACTGTCCTCTTATTTCTTCCTTCCTTTCCTTCCTTTCTCCCCTAGACCTCAGCACATCTGGCTAGAGACTAACTTGGAGGAGTGGGGGTGGGAGGTCCACAACGAGATCACACATTTAGAGTAGGAAGTGACCTTAAAGGGTATCTAGTTCAACCCCATTATTTTCTACATGAAGAAAGTGAGGCCCAGAATGGCATAGTGGACTTTTGAGTCAGCAAGGCCTGGGTTCAAATCCCCCCGGATGACCCTGAGTAAGTCATGTGACTGAGCCTCAGTTTCCTCATTTGGAAAATGGCACCGACCTCAGAGAGTCCTTGTGAGAATCAAATGAGGCAATATATGTAAAGCCCTTTGCAAACCTTGATGCACTATATAAATGTTCCCTATGCCTTTTATTCCCCAAGGTCACACAGGTCAGCACTGGAACTCAGGGCATTTGCCTCCAGATCTGGCACACCACTATCCCCAGTGGTCCCCAGGCCAGTGCTTCTGAGACGGCTTGCACCAGGAGCTGAGCACCCTGAAGCAGGGCCTCTTGGGCTCACCCTTCCCTCGGGCAACGTGCAAAGTCTCCCTCTCCCCCCCCACCCCAGCCTCCCCAGCCCATTGAAACTCAGAGCAATGTCCTCAACTATTTCCCTTGGAGACAACTGGACATTTTTTCTCGATCTTACTCTGATACCTGCTGTACTATCCCGGGTGAAGAAGATGTTATCGTCTAGTTTCTATAGCTTTTGTCCCTCTTCATTAGGCAAACATCAATTCTGTTTGTTTTTTAACTGAGAACAGTTTGTCATGGGCTTCCTGGATTGGTTCTGATGAGACAGCAGAAATGTTGTTGAGTCTTGTGTAAACACCTATTACATGGGAAATGGGGGAAGGGGGAGCCAGTGCTGTGGAGCTGTTGGCCACTTGAAGGTTGGAACCCAATTCCATTGGGCCATCCGCAGATCCCACGTTGTTTACTTGTGTGAAACAGCAAGTCACGCTTTGCTAAGAAGACTCTAGTAAAATATTAAAGAAACCCAGAGCTCCCATCAAATAACCCTTAGCACACAGCTGATGAGTCAAGTATGAATGAATCAGAAGGCAGTCAAAGCAATAGAAATGCACCGAAAGCAAAGTCTTTTATGCCAAGCCCCAAAACATTTGATACCTGCTTGGGTAGGGCTGGGCTTTTTTTTTTTAAGCTCAAGCTTAAACACGCCTGAACTTGCTTTTCTCAAGAACCAAAGCCTACAAGCCCACAGGGTACATGGGACTTCTCTTGCTAGAAAAGACGGCCCATGATGTAGTTGGAACAACACTGAACTTAGAGTCCAAAGACCTGGGTTCGAGGGTACTGGGTTGTTTCTCTTCCTTTGAACCTCAGTTTCCACAATTTGAAAATGCACACAATAATACCCTCCCTCCCACCCCCCTCTCACTGGACAGTCTTGAGGAAAGTGCTTTGTAAAACAGTAGATAAAAGTGAGCAGCTCCTATTAATATCATTAGGTTTGGATTTGTGATTTCATTTTTGAGGTCTCCTAGCCTGGAAGCTCTCTCCCCATCCAAGTCAACACCTCATTTATAACTTCAGAATGGCCTGGGGTATCTGGGGGTGAATAGTGGGGCCTAGCTTGCCATGGGGCAGAGCTAGACCCCAGGCCTGCTGACTCCAAGGCCAGTCCCTCATCGATGGAGCTGTGATGCCTCTTGGTGTTTTATCATCCCCATTGTCCCCACCATCACTGATGCCATCATTGTTTCTCAGTATGGTTTCTCCCCCTTGGGAAGGCTTGGAGGCCTCCATGTTTCCTTTCTGGATCTCCCTGAGGCAGCCCACTATGGAGGCATTTAGATTCCTTTTACTTTTCTTTTTGCAGGATAACCGAATGCCTATGAAGACTTCCAGTTACCCAGCAGCCAATGCCTACAACCTTCCATCCAGTTTGATTTCTAAGAAAGACTTTAGTAATTCGTGCTCTCACATGTTCCATCTGCCCTTCTGTGAGAAAATCTGCAAATGGCTCACCCCAGCGCCCAATCACTATAATGTAAGGGGAAAAGGGCCTGGGAAGGAGGCTGGGGTAAGAGAACATCTTAGAGTGGGAAGAGACCTCTGAGGTCATCTAGACCCTGCCCTCCGCAATTCACAAGAAGCTTCTGTAACTCCTCTGAGAAGTAGCCGCCCAGTGTCAACTCAGAAACCTCTGATAGCTTGGAACTCATTACCTTCCTAGGCAGTTCATTCTCTTTCTGAAATAGTATATGATCTGCTGCTTTTTGCTCCAGGGTGGACTGGGTGCTGGTAGTAATAAGGGAAGACTACATGCTAGGGGTGGAGGAGACACACACACACACACACACACACACACACACACACACACGCATACACCTGGAAGTCACTCCCTTGGCACCAATTCTACCAGCAAGTCCTGACACCATCTGTATCAGGGAGCCAGTGGGAACCCAAAATGACTTATAAGTTAAAAAAAACAAGCCACTGTCCACAAGGGCTTGGTAACAATAGTTAACATAGTTATTTCTACCTCTGACAAAGCCCTTCGAATAAATCTTTGGCATTTGCTTTTCAGAGCACCCTGTAAGGTAGTCAGGGTATCTAGATGAATGTCCTAGGCACACAGAAGGAAGCTTAGAGTTCATCTAGCCCAACCCCTGCATTTTTATAGGTAAAGATACCTAGGCCCAGAAAGATTTTGTCGAATGGAAGATTCTGGAGGGCAGATTCTTAGATTTTCTATCCCCAGTTCCTGGCTTGGCATAGATGTTTAATGAATTGGATTGGGTTGGATTGGATTGGATTAAGTAACTTTTAGAATGTTAGAATTTCCCAGTTGTGAGAGATCCCAGAGGCCATCTTGTCCACCCTATTCCATACTTGAGAAGTATTTCCCTCAACAACATCATCCCAAAGTGAGTGTCCAACTGGCCTCTGCTGGAAACCCACCCCCTGAGGCAGCCCTCCTCCATTTTGGGACAGTTCTCATTGTTAGGAAAATTTTCCTTACTTCAAGCCTTTAAATCCCACCCATTGCTACTGATTCTTGAAGGGCAAAGCCTAACTCTAACCCCTCTTCTAAAGGCTCTCTCTTCCCATCACTGAAAATACCTCTCATGGTCCCCCTCCCTCCCTGCCCCCTATGGTCTCCACACCAAATATCCCTAGTTCCTTCAAAGACTCTCATAAGCCATGGTTCACGGCCCTCACTCTGCTGGTCATTATTTTCTGGATGTTGTCCGACTTAACAATGTCCTTCCTGAACTTTAGTGATCTAAACTGATCAAAACACTCCAGCTACTGTCCATCTAGGCCAGAGGACCCCAGAACTCTCACTTCCTTATTCCTGGAATCTGTGTCTCCTTTGACCAGGTCCCATTAGCTTCTTGGCTTTGGCGGCCACACCACCCTGCTGACCAGAGCCCCTTGCCTTCTAAGGCTTAGCCTAGTGCCTGGCCCATGGTGGGTGCTTAATAAATGTTTATTGATTAAAAACTATTTGCTGACTTACCAAAGGCCACTCAGCCAGTGAAGAGCAGAGCTGGCACTCAGTCTCAATTTCTAACTCCACATCTAATGCTCAGCTCACTGTCATGCTGCCGCAGGCCTTCATAAACACTTGTTGAATTAAATCAATATGGTTAACTTACCTCCCTGGGAGGCGAGTTTGGAGGACCCAATGAAATAGCGTGTGCTTTGAAAAACACAAAGTATTCTAAGCTGGGATGGCCCTTAGAGATCATCCATTCCAACCCTCTCATTTTGCAGATGAGGAAACTGGGGCCCACATAGCATCTTCTAAAATACGCCATCCTTAAAAGTACGATTTTCTTTCTTTCTGAACCATATTTTATTGATGCCATTTGTCTCTACATCACAATCATTTTAGCCTTCTGCTCTCCCATTGAACTCCCCACTGGGGCAAATAAAAGCAAGTAAGCATAGAGGCAGCTAGGTGGTGCAGTAGATAAAGCGTCGGCCCTGGAGTCAGCAGGACCTGAGTTCAAATCCAGTCTCAGACCAGACACTTGACACTTACTAGCTGTGTGACCCTGGGCAAGTCACTTAACCCCCAATTACCTCACCGGGGGGAAAAAGAAACAAAACACCTGATGCAGTGATTGCCAATGACCATTATATACTGTTTTGCCCTGGTAATCCCCCATCTCCTGTTTCATGCTATCTTTCACTGGTTTTTCTGTTACTCAGAATCAATTTCCTTAAAAACTTCATGAGATTCTCCATAGTTTTGACGGATGGATTTTCCTTGTTTACAAAGATTCCCTTGCCTTCTCCCCACCTTTACACTATGCACCTCCTTTCCAGAGTATCATAGGTTCTGGGGCAGGGGACTCCTCTGGAGATCCCACTTCCTAGCAGTATCAGACTACCTCCAGCCCTGAAATCCTAAGCATACTCCCTCACCAGAATGGGGTCCCCAAGGCGCTGGAATACAACTCCTTTTTACAGCCTCAACCCCCAAACAGGGTACACAGTCCTCCTAGGCTGTAGAATGCTCTTCCCTGCTGTCTCCCCACACAAGCAAAACCTCTGTCGATTCATTACCAACACAAAGCAAAGACTCATGACCCCCACTGCAGGGCATGAATTTATGGCTTCATTCTTCTAATGGTCACCACCAAACTGCTGAGTCCATACTGGCAGCCCAGGTCACACCTTGGTCCTTCAGGGAAGCCTTCTCTGTGCCAGAAATTGCTCTGTCTTTTTTTTTTTTTAAACCATAAATTACTAAATTCCCATCTAAATTGTGCCTGACCAAAGCTTCTGAGAAGGCCTTGTGGCTAATAGGGGTTTAATAAATGTGAGTTGAATTGAAAAGCAAATACCAGATACCAGAACCCTCTCCAGGAATTGCCATACCTGGAACAAATGTAGTTAAGAGGTAAGGGATTAGAAGTTAAATGTGGGGGGTAAGGAGGGGGAGGGGGATGAGAAAACCCATCATTCCTGCAATAGTAACATCTGTTTTCCTCTCCGAATCCTTTCCATTCATTTGCAAGCTGCCTGAGCAACAATCGTTTCCTTCCTCTGATACCATCCTCCATCCCTCATCTCCTTCCCCCTCAGCCTTACCTGCTTCTTAACAGTCAACAGACATTTATGAAACACCTACTATGTGGACTAAGTGTTGGCATACAAAGAAAGCACCAATGTGGGCCCTGCCCTCTGGGACTACTCATCTATTGTTCAGAAACCACTCTTTCTCTTAGACTTTGGTGTGTATTTTGCCCCTTCCCGCTTCCTGCAGCCACAGAAACCTGGCTCCTCCCCAGAAGGCAGGGCAGACATCCTTAGCCAGCCTTGCCCACACTGGAGGCACCTTCTCTTGTTGCTGGGACAATGGAGTCAGGAAGGGGAGTGGTCACGCTCCTCGATTTTCACTGCCACTTCCAGATCCTCTCTCTGTTGCCTTTATTTAGCAGATTTCCTCTTTTGAGGGTCGCGCCCATCTAGTTAGATTACCCCACCTGGATCTTTCTGGCCCCCAGGTCACTCTCTGTCCTTTCCCAAGGAGTTCAGTACCTGGCTTATGGTCTCCTCCTCCATCCCAACCTGTGCCCTCATACTGGGGGATTTAAATAGACTCACTGATATCCCCTCAAACGTTCCTGAAGCGGACCCCTTGAAGGAACCTAGGGCTCTTCTCCAAGGGCCTTTGGGGACCATTCATTTTGTTCCTTTGCTGCCTTTCCTGGGGGCATTGCCTCAGTTTCCTTGCCTGTAAAAGGAGAAGGGTCATGGATTAAGTAGCTTCTAATGTCCCTTACAGCTCTAAATCTATGGTCTGTGATCTCTGTCCACTTGTATCCAGGCCATTAGGAAACTCTGATGGCTTTGTCTTTAGGAAGCCCCTCTCCCTCCCCTGAGGAGGGGACCCTGTTCTAGAAGTCCTTCCTGAACCTGAAGTCTCTACTCTTTCCCCAGCAACACTACTCTCCCTTCCCCTTTCCCTGGGGATGACTTCCTGCCTAAACCACAGGAAGGCACAGGCTGGCAGAAGACTTTGAGGTATAAGGTGTTAGGACTGGGTTCGATTAAATATAATGCAGAGGAAGTGGTACCATGGCTGGGAGAGAAAGCAGCATCTCCCTTCATGCTGGCGCCTCGTGAAGGCACGCTGCCTCACCCTGGCTACATACAGCGTGGTTAAATGTGTAATAATTCTATTAAAGAATCTTCCCTTCCCTGCCCTGCCCTCCCTGCCCTCCCATCTCTTACTGTCCCTTCCTTCCCCTTCCCTTCTTCCTTCTGGCTTGCTCTTTCTTTGTTCCCCCCTGCTCTGCTCTCTCCTCCCCTCCTCTGCCCCTCTCCTTTCCTTCCTTTCTCTTCCCCCCAGCCCTGCTCTCTCCTCCCCTCCTCTGCCCCTCTCCTTTCCTTCCTTTCTCTTCCCCCCAGCCCTGCTCTCTCCTCCCCTCCTCTGCCCCTCTCCTTTCCTTCCTTTCTCTTCCCCCCAGCCCTGCTCTCTCCTCCCCTCCTCTGCCCCTCTCCTTTCCTTCCTTTCTCTTCCCTCCTGTACCTTGCTCTCCTGACCAGTTCTCTGTCCTGCTCTCTCCTCCTCTACCTTTCCCTCCCCTGCTCGTTCTTCCCTTCTCCCCTCTCCCCCCAGCTTCTGCCCATGCCCCATGTACTGAGTGTCGACTCTGGGCCCAGGCCCTGTGGCAGGTGCTCAGGTAAGCAGCCACATTGAAGAACAGCCCTCCCAGAATGCACCAGGAATGAATCAGGTTTCTTTTGCTCTCTCTTACTCTCTCTTAGTTCAATAGGAAGCAGGTGAAAATAGGCAGATCCTGTTAGCTAGGCTGAGTTTTACCGCAGGGCCCCTTTCCTGTCTCATACCCACAAACCAAAGATTCCCCAGACTTGTAATCAAAGGGCCAGCTGGGTAACCCAGGACAAGATGGCTTGCTCTTTAAACCTCAGTCCTTTCATCTGTGAAATGGGGACAGTAATCTTCTTCCTTCCTCCTTATCAGGGGTACTATGAGGGAAAGTGCTTGGAGAGCCTTAAAGTGTGATAGAAATGAGAGCCTTATCATTATGCCCCGGACCCCTCTTCCCTCGCCGTCATCTCCTACCAGTTAACCTGGCTCTTGCCCCCATCCCAGTCCCATCAGCTCCATCTGTTTGCTCTCTCCTCATGCCATGCCACCTGACTCTTGGGGCCCTGGGAACAGGTGAATTCCACAGCTTCTATAAACACAAGATCAGGAATTCCATCTGCGGTTACGAAGACACACTTCCTAAGCTGGGAGCCTCACGGGCAGCCCAGTCACCCAAGCCCCAGCAAACAATTTCACCAGCCCAATAAATGCCCCTGTGGAGAGCCCAGGGAGCCTTTTATCTAAGACACACGACACGAGGGCATCTGAAATATTTCTGATTCGTGCCTGATCTCAGCCTGGCATCCTGGTCAGAGTTCTTGAGCATGCTAACCTCTCGGGACTGCTTATCAGCTGGCGAGGATGCTGGGGATGGACATTCTTTCTTTCTGGTTGGTCCAGGAAAGCAGAGCCAAGGGCGATGCTGACCCACATGGCCGATCCTAATCTGAGGTCACACCACTGGCTTGGGGCACACCACGAATTCTTCTAGGGCTGCCCTGTGGGTGTCTGGTTGTCATGTTTGACAAAGGAGTCTTGTGGCCAAGGAAGGAAGGGATCAACTACGTGTTAAGTGCCTACTAGGTGCCAAGCACTTTACAAATGTCTCATTTGCTCAGCCCTTCCCCGGTGGGTGCTATTATTATCCCCATTTGACAGATAAGGAAACTGAGGCAAAGGTTAAGGGACTTGCCCAGGGTCACACAGCTAGTAAGGGTCTGAGGCGAGATTTGAACTCGGGTCTTCCTGACTCCAAGCCTGGTGCTCTATCCACTGAACCACTCGACCTGTCAGGAGGTGGGGGTGACTGGCATTGTGCTTGATTCTGTCTCCCTCCTCTGTCTAGAATGCTCTCCCGCCCCCTGTCTGCCTTCATCTCCAGCAGCTGTTAGTGCTTCCTTCACCAACTGACATTGAATTTGCCATTTCGGGGGTTCTCATCTGTGTGCACAGCGTGAGCGCCCGGGAGGCAGAGACGGTTTGGTTTTTGTATCGCTGCACACAGTAGAGGCTCTGGATGTAGCAGGCATCTAAAAATACTCGTTGAATGTAACTGAATTGAAAAGTTGTTGCCAGAAGGTGAAAGTGATAATAACAACTTACATTTACATAGGGCACTTTGGGGTTTACAAGTTCTAATTCAATAAACATTTATTAAGCACATATTCTGTGTGAGGTATGTTTACAGCCAGCATGTTGTGGTGAGGAGAGTGCTGGCTGGCTGTGTCTGATGCATCTTAGATACGCAGCCCTGAACAAGGGAATTCATCTCATTGAGCCTTAATTTCTTAAACTTCAAAATGGAAATGATGATGATGATGATGATGATGATGATGAAAACCACAAGAATAGCTAGAATTTACATGACACCTTAAGGTTTGCAAAGCGCTTTACAAATATTATTTCATTTGATCCTTACAACAACCGTGGGAGGTAGGTGCTATTATCATCCCCTTTTTATAGATGAAGAAACTGAGGCAGGCAAAGGTTAAGTGATTTATTTGCCCAGAGTTACACAGCCAGGAAGTATATGAAGCTGGGTTTGAACTCAGTTCTTCTTGACTCCAAGTCCAATGCACTATCTACTTTGATAGGCAAATCCCCACTCCTACCCAGGATAAGTCTGTGGTGTCGCAGCTTGGTGTAGTGAATAGGCTGCTACCCATGGAATCAGGGAGGCACAAATTCAAATCCCTACCCTGAGTTAGTTATTAGCTGTATGACCCTGGGCAAGTCACTTAACCTCTTTGTGACTCAGCAACTCCCCAGAATTCATCTACTAAGTGACAGGTGTTTGCTACCAGCAGTGGAGATGCTCGTATTGGGGAATCACAGATATCAGATTTCCCAGATGTTTGGGAAATTTCAGGTCCCAGTGTATACTAGGCATGAAGGGAGATAAAAACGATGAAAAGCAACACATCTCATGCCCGTTAGAAGCTTATAGTCTATTGGGGATGAGGTGGGGGTGCTAGCTAGAAATTAGAATAAGGCAAAGCATAACAGAGTGGGAGTAAGGCGGGGATTCAGACAAAGTGCTCTGGGACATTTGATGGGGGAAGAAGGAATTTTCGTTTGGGAGAACCTGAGCTGGCTTCATCTAAGCTGGGCTTTGAAACAAGAGGAGGGTTTCAAATATGTGGAGCTCTGAGTGTGGAGGATGGGATGATATGGAGGATGGCTAATGGTCCAGTCTACTTAGAGGACATAGGGAAATAGAGCTTGGAAAGGTAGGTTGGATCCAGACTGGGCAACGCCTTAAGTGCCAGGCTAAGGAGCTGACATTTTATCCAAGAAGCAGCAGAAAACTTTGGAAAGTTTTTGAGGAGGGGAGAGCAAAGGATTTGCTTTACCATAACCCAGTAAGGCACCTAGTACAAATACGATATTGATTTTGTAGATGAAGAAACTGAGGTTGGGGGAGGGTGTTGTTGTTGATCAGGTGTTTCCGTTGTGCCCAACTCGTCGTGACCCAATTTGGGGTTTTCTTGGCAAAGATACTAGAGAGGTTTGCATTTCTTTCTCCAATCAAAGTTACACAGCTAATAAGTATTATAGCTAGCACTTCAACCCACTTCACGAACACCTTAGGTCTTTTTCCATAAGCTTGTGTTATCTAGCTATGCCTCCCTCATTCTATATAATTCTTCAATTGATTTTTTGAACCCTAACCTAGGAATTTACATTCATTTTTAATACTATTTGTTTATTGTTATTATTTATTAGCGCTTATTTAATATTTCATTTAGTATTTTTGTTTATTAGTATTTCATTTAGTATTATTAGTATTTTATTTATTAGTATTTTTATTATTCATCTTAGTATATATGGCTAACATTCTAGTTTTCCAACATCTTTCTCAATCCTGATTCTGTAGTATTCTATGCTTTCCATCACTTCCAATTTTGACCTGACTTCAGATGTTGATAAGCATACCATCCATGCCTTCCTCTGAGTTACTGATAAACGAGTTGAACCACCCAGGGCCAAGATCCAGGGTGTTCCGTTATAGTGCTCATCCATCAGTTACTATTTGGGTCAAGTCTACCAATCAGTTATGAAACTGCTTAACTGTGTTATCATTGAGCTCGACTTTTCCCATCCTATCTTCATGGCTAGTAGTATGAGAGACCTTGCCTAGCATTCAGGGCCCTCTATAACCTGGCCTCAATCTGCTCTTCCCACCTTGGCTTGAACTTTTCCCTCCCATCTTAGCTCAAATTTCTCTTTGCTACATACCCTACATTCTAGCCAAATTGGACTTCCAAACACTTCTCTATGACTTTGCTACACTCTTTCCTATGCCTAGAATGCCCTCTCCCCATCTCTGCCTGTTGAATTTCTACCAGGTCTGGGTCAAATTCATTCGGCTTCTTCTGCACCTGCTCTCACTGAAGCACCCTCAGTGAGCTCCCATCTCCTCAGGCTCCCGCTTAAAATCAAAGTATAAATAACACCCCACCCCACCCCCACCTCTCCAAACTTGTGGGTTTCTTTCACTTTCATAGGTTACTTGCAACCAATACTGTCAAAGCAGCATAAAGGCCGTGCCCGGGTGCGTGCAGGAGCCGAGTGGAGTTTCTATGAAACTTTTCCTGGTAACCCCCCAATTAGAATTAAAAATTCTTCCTCTAAACTCTCATTGTACATGGTAGAGCGGAGAGTGCTGACTTTGTAATTATAAAACATGGATTCAAATTCTAACTCAAACACTTATCTGTATGACCTTATGCAAGTCACTTTAAACACCTCATTTGACTCATTTGTAAAATGGACGGAAAAGGGTTGGATTAGTTGGTCTCTGAGGGCTCTTTCAGCTCAAATTAAATCTGTGATCCTATGGGGACTTAGTTTACCTTTATAAAATGAGGCGGCTGGACTTCTGAGGTTGTTTCCAGCTCTAAATCTGTGAGCTCGTGACCTCATTCCCCCTTATTTTACACCCTTTTCGTATTCTGTTTTGTATTATAGAAATGTGTGTGCATGTCATCTCCCCTGTGAGACAGGAAACTCTCAGAGGGCAGGACCCAGCTCTTATTTTATGTGTCTCTCTCTTAGGGCCTAGGGCACAGCAGATATTTAGTAAATGTTTGTGGAATGAATGAAGACTGTTCCCTCCTCCCCCACCTCTCCCCCAACAGACCACAGTTTTTCTGAACAAGGAAGAGAACAGTTGGAGTGCTCCTGCTGCTCGGCCTGGGTTTTTATCAAAAACCCCAAGGGGGTATACACCCACTAAACAAAGGCTAGCACCTTCCCCAGGTAAGTGACAGACTGGAATATAGGACATATTATAGTGTATGACTTTCAAAGCCCCCATTCTTTGTTATTTTTATTATTGTTATTGCATGGACCTGTCATTTATGTCTAGGTGAGGAACTTGGTGGGGAAACTCCTTCCACCAATGCAGACCAGTGACTGCTTTGTAATTTAAGGTCTTAGGGAGCTACCTGGGATGGAAGAAAAGAAGGAAAGAAGGAAGGAAGGAAAGAGAGAGGGAGAGAAAAAGGGGAGGAAGAGGGAGAGGAAGGAAAGGAAGAAAGGAAGAGAGAGAGGAGAGAAAGGAAGGAGGGGAAAGAGGGAAGGAAGGAAGAGAAGGGAAGAAAGAGAAGAAGGAAGGAAGGAAGAGAGAGAAAGAAGGAAGGAGGAAAGGAAGAAAGGAAGAGAGAGAGGAGAGAAAGGAAGGAGGGGAAAGAGGGAAGGAAGGAAGAGAAGGGAAGAAAGGAGAGAGGGAAGAAGAGAAGAAGGAAGGAAGGAAGAGAGAGAAAGAAGGAAGGAGGAAAGGAAGAAAGGAAGAGAGAGAGGAGAGAAAGGAAGGAGGGGAAAGAGGGAAGGAAGGAAGAGAAGGGAAGAAAGGAGAGAGGGAAGGAAGGAAGAGAGAGAAAGAAGGAAGGAGGAAAGGAAGAAAGGAAGAGAGAGAGGAGAGAAAGGAAGGAGGGGAAAGAGGGAAGGAAGGAAGAGAAGGGAAGAAAGGAGAGAGGGAAGGAAGGAAGAGAGAGAAAGAAGGAAGGAGGAAAGGAAGAAAGCATGTTTAAAGTGCCTGCCATGTGCCATGTGCTTTACAAACATTACTTGATGTGATCCTCACAACAGCCCTATGTGTTAGAGTTGACTGTTATCATAGCCATTTTATAGTTGAGGAAACTGAGGCAGACAGAGCTGAAGTGACTTGCCTAGGGTCACACAGCTAGTAAGTAGTAAATATTAGTAACAGTAATCAGTCATAGTAAAATTAGCTGGGACACTAAAAGGGTAGATTTGCCCAGGACTACAGAGCTAGGATGTATGTGAGGCAGAACTTGAATCCACATCTTCCTGTCTTGGAGGCCAGCCTTCTAGCCACCACATCATGCCACTATGTCACATTATTTATTGATGAATAACACCTTGGAAGTCTATGGGACTCCCTAATTACAAAGCACTGTCAATACATAGTTTATCTGATCAATATGAAGAAGGGCTGGCAGGTTTCATAGCACTGTGGATTTAGAGTTGGAAGGAACCTTGGAGATCATCGGGTCTGCCGATCCATTTTACAGATGAGGAAAGTGAGGTCTGGTTCAGAACAAGGAGAGAACAGGAGAAGCTGAATTCCATTTCAGGTCTTCTGACCTCAGATCTCCATTTCACAACAGAGGAGACTACAGAGGGGTAGGGGTGGTGAGGGGTGAGAGGAGGTGCCCAGCATCAGATAGTAAGTGGCAGAGCCAGGGTGGCACCTCGACTCTCCTGACCCCTCCTCCTGCCTCATCCCCCAAGTCCGTGTGGTGTCTGGGCAGCCCAGCATGCCTGAGCTACACTGGGGAGCAGAAGGACAATCTTTCAGGCGATGGGATTTTTCCTGGCCACAGACAGAATTATAGAGCCTGTCAGATCTTAACAAATAACAGGATAAAGTTGGAAAGACCCACCCTATCTTTTTGGGCAAAGAAACTGGAAGAGGAAGTTAGCACCCTGCCGACTCCTACCAGCCTTGTGGCCAGACAGAGCCTCCTTTGTTTTCAGAAGAGAATTCCTTTTGATTTACTTCTGTAAACAGTTCTTAAGCCCTTACTATGTGCGCGGCACTAAGGGTGCAGAATCGGAAGAAAAAAATAACACACTGACAGATTTAGAATTTGAAGGACCAGAGGGTCTTAGAAGTGGTGCTAAGAGGAACTACAGAGGCCGTCTGTTCTGCCCTCTCATTTTACAGATGAAGTGACTGCAGCTCGGGAAGATGAAGTGATTTATCCAAGGCCACCCAGGTGCAGTAAATGGCAGACGCAGGATTCAAACCCAGGCCCTCTGATTCTAAACCTTCCTCTACTGGATCATGCCGCTTTCTATTCCTGGCCCTCAAGGAGGTTATAACCTACAAGGGAATATTAGACACATACATAAATAAGTGTAATACTTGTGAGGAGTGTGAAGCAGAGAGCCTGACCAAGCTTCTCTAAGAACCGTGAGGAAGGAGACATGTGTTTAGGCTGTGATGAGAGGGAAGGAAGATAGATGATCCAGGTGGGCTTCCTGGAGGAAGTGGCTTTGAGTTAGGCCAGGAAGGAAGTGAAGGACACCAAGGTGAGGAGGGATAGAATATATTCCGCAAAGGAGTGATCAATGTATGAAGGAAGGAAAGAGGGAGAAGAAGGGAGAGAAGAAAGGAAGAAAGCATTTATTGAGTGCCTACTATGTGCCAGGCATAGAACTAGAGGACCACCTACTCTAGAGTTAGAGAGGCCGGCTTTCAGACTGAGTCCTTACTCTCTGTGTGATCTTGGGCAAATCAGTGAGCTCTTCTGGGCCTTAGCCTCCTCATCTGTGTAATGGGGAGAGCTGGGCCAGGTGGGACAGGATGAGCTCTGAGCTCTCTTCTTGTCCCAGATCTCTGATCTTATACAAACACCCCAAGTGGGGAGAAGGTGGGACAGGGTTGGGAAAGAACGAGAAGTCCAGTTGGAATGGGATGTCCATAGTGTGTCTGACAAGGACAGTAACAACAACAATAATAATAATTGCTATGTTAGTGCTTAAAGTTCATGAAGTAGGCTGGAAAGATGGTGCCAGAGATAGAATTTGGTGAGCAAAAAGGAACAGAGAATTTCCACCTTCAGCACCAAGGCAGGCCTCCCACGTTGGCCCAGAGGCCCCAGGGGCTGATGGTTGAGGATTAAGGCCTGGTCTCAGCAGCTTAGAGCAGCCAAGTGGGCCAGCCACTGTGGGCAGGACTCTCGGGGTAAATCTTCCCTACTTGCTGGATGGGATAATTGCAGATGTTTCCTCTCCATCCCCTGTGGGGCCAACAGATGTACAGGAGAGATTGGAAGCTGGCTGTCCTGCTGTGCCCTTGTCCTCCCAGGGGGCCAGTCACGCTTGGGTGATCTAAGTGGCCGAGGCTTTGCCATGTCAATGGCCTTCCCAATTATGGGGCAGGGGAGAGGGCTAGCAGCTGAGTAAGCCAGGCCCTTTTTATTTGGAAACACTAATCATTTCCTTCTTCTGAGGTTCTGGTGTGTTTGCCCTCCCCCAACGATCCCACCCTCCCCAAGTTAGTCTGTGCACACCCAATGTCTTTCTAGTCAGCTCTACCAACTGGTCTCACAGTTTTCTCTCTCTAAGTTGAAGAATAAAAAAAAAAGAACACTTAAAGGCTTATACAAGGTTTTCCTGACAACAATTGGGGAGTATTATTATCCCCATTTTACAGATGAGGAAAGGAGAGACTGAGGGGCTTATCCAAGGTCCCACAGCTAGTAGGTGCCTAAACCAGGATCCAAAGCCTGATTTCCTCTTGACTGCAGGTCCATTAAAACTTTGTTCTGCCCCATGTAGTTCTCAATGGATTCCCTTTTATACAGAGATGCCAAAATCTACTACATTCTGTTGTTTCCTAAGAACACGATTGCTCACCAATTATGTGAGGGATTACCTGCTGTAATGCAGAGTGTCCAGGCCAGTACTGTCTTTGTTTCATCTGCCCTACTGTGTGACCAGGGTCCTCATCTCTGAAATGGGGCTAAGGAGGCAGTAACCTAAGTTGCCTCATAGCTCCAATATCCTCTGAACTAGGGTGCTTCTGAGCTCTGACATTTTGCACTCTAAGGCTCCTCCCACTTCTGACATTCTGTACCCTAAGGCCCCAGCCCTGACATTCTGGGTTCTAAGGCCCCTCCCAGCCCTGATATCCCATGTTCTGAGGCCCCTCCCATACCCCTGCCTTTTATTTATGACTTTTTTTTTTAATTTTTAGGCAATTGGGGTTAAGTGACTTGCCCAGGGTCACACAGCTAGTAAGTGTCAAGTGTTTGGTCTGTGGCTGGATTTGAACTCAGGTCCTCCTGACTTCAGGGCTGGTGCTCTAGCCACTGCACTACTTAGCTGCCCCCCCCCCTTATTTAAGGGAGGACATCCTCTTATTCTCCCCTGCCCCTCTTCCTTCTTAGGGCATTACCAGATCAATGAGACCTTGGTGAAGGAGGCCCCTAAGCTTGTCGGGTGTGGTTTCAAGTCAAGAACTGTTCGCGAAACGAAGATAATATCTTTTGTCCCTGGTCCGGGCACCTACAATCCTAACATACCCATCAAAGCTCCCCCAAAGAAGAACAATACCCGGTGAGTTGAAGTTTTATTCGTAGATGAGGAGGGGTGGGCGATCCTGGGGAGAAGTACATAGCAGGCAAAGGCCTTCTGGAAGGGAGCTGATACAGGAGTCCTTGCCCTTTGTTTTGTCCTGGCCCCCGGGGCCTTCTCAGGGTAACGATTCTAAATAATCGAAGAAGATGCTGAATTTCACTTACAGGGTAATGAAAATAAAGAGGTTATTTTTTCCCATCCGAGTTCCCAGAGTTCCTGAAATCCACAGATGCCTGGGGGCATGGGGGAGCCATAGACTCCAGGTTGGGACCTCCCTTGCTGGGAGACCAGGCTGTTCGCTGCTGGGGGCCCCTGCAGCTTCTCCTTTTCCTTGGCCACTCTCGTCCCAGGCAGGACGGGCTGAGAAGACAGAAGCTGGGGGCTCTGCCAAGTGGAGGAAGGCTGGCATAAGGATGCCAGTCCTCATGGCCCTCCTTTGCTTGTTGCCTGGAGAGGATCTCTGAAATGCCTTGAAAGCCTGTGGGTGCCTGCAGTCTCCTTGGCCATTCCTCCCTCCTGCTCCAGGGGCAGGCTATCATCAAGGTCATCTAGTCAAACCTACTCGTTTGCTGTTGTTGTTGAGCCATTTTTCAGTCGTGTCTGACTCTCCATGAGCCCATTTGGGGTTTTCTTGGCAGAGATACTGGAGTGGTTTGCCACTTCCTCGTCCAGCTCATTTTACAGATGAGGAAACTGAGGCAAAAGGCATTAAGTGACTTGTCCAGGGTTACACAGCTAGGAAGTGTCTGAGGCCAGATTTGAACTCAGGAAGATGAGTCTTCCTGACTCCAGGCCCAGTGCTCTATGCGCTATGGTGCCAGCTCACTGTCCTTGATAATTAGGGAACTAGTAATAAAGAACCTAGATGCCATCCATGAGTTCAAATCATTAGGCCTAGAAAGACTTTCTGGGAAAATTGGCCAATGTGATCACTCGGTCCAGTTTCAGCAATCCTTGAAAGAGCAGAGGGAAGAGGAGAGGTGCTGTAGTGTTGGAGGAGAGCAACTGTGTAGCCCAGTGCCTGGCACACAGTAGGCCCTTCATGAATGCTTGTTGACTTACTGATAAAGGTTGTGGAGAGAAGAAAGTGAAATCTGCAAGCTTGAGAGGCCAGAGAGCTTGAACTTGGTTAGGACTAAGTGGCCTCTGAGATCCATCCCAACCCTCAGATTCTACGATGTCATGATGCGATTCCTGGCAAAATTCTAGAACAAAGGGATGGCTAGTGAACGTCAGAAAAGGAAGTAGTAATCATCCAGAGCCGGCAGGGCTTTTTCAAGAGTGAACCCTGTCAAAATAACTCTGTTTCCTTTTCCCCAGAGTTACTAGACTTTTAAAAGAGGCAGTAAGATAAATTCAATTCAAGCATTTTTTTTCCATCTTTAAACATTTTAATTGATGTATTTTGGCATTACCTGCATTGCTCAGTTATTTCCATTTCCCCACCCAGAGAGCTGTCCTTATCACAATAAAAAGGAAGGGAAAAAAAAGGTTCAGCAAAACGGATGAATGTGTCTGTTATGGCTGATACTGTATTCAGGGTTCCACATCCATAGGCCCCCGCTTCTGCAAAGAAGGGTGTCAGCTGCCTTCTTGTATCTTTTCTTTGGCCAAGCTTGGTCATCGCAATTCCATAGCACCCAGTTTTGTTTGTTTGGTTGTGGTTCTTTTAGTTCACATTGTTGTGGTCTACTTGTCCCCCCTGTCTACTTGTTTTCCTGGCTTTGGTTACTTCCCTTTGCATCAGTTCATGTAGATCTTTCCATGCTTCTCTGTATTCATCATGGTCATCTTTCCTTAAAGCACACAGTGATAACCTGTTACATTCCCCTGCCACAACTTGCTTGGCCATATCCCCATGGAATAAATAGTTACTTGGCTTCCAGTTCTTTTCTATCACAAAACCTTTCATGAGTGTTGGTTAAGGGCCTCCTCTGTTCCGGGTTTTATGCTGGGTGCCAAGGATACAAAGACAAAAATTAAACAGGCATCCTCACGAAGCTTGCTTGCTTTTTTAAAAATGAGTTAATTTTTTTTTAATGAACAAAGATCTATTTTCTCTCCCATCCTGTTGGACAAAAAGAAAAACAAATTCCTTGTAATGAATATGAACGGTCAAGGAAAACACATTCCTTCATTGGCCGTCTCCAAAGAATAACGTCTCGTTCTGCACCTTGAGGGACTCTGCCCCCTCCCTGCTGAGAGGGATATGGGCACGTGGAATCAGGGACTCTCACCGAGGCGCTCAGAGTTCTCCCAGCTTTCTGAGCTGTTTGCTGTTACGTTGTTATTGCACAAATGGTTCTGCTGGTTCTGCTCACTTCATTCTTCATCAGTTTATAAAAGTCTTCAAAGATTTTTTTACTGCCTCCTATGTGGGTGTCTTTAGGAAATTTTGGATGGGATAACTTCTAAAGGAATTTACGAACACTTTTTGTCTGCCTTAGTAGACATGTGCACAAATTTATTACCCACATTCCTGGTTGATAAGACAGAAAACAGTAGGTAAGGTGAACTAATACGTTTTCAGTTTTTTTTCCCCCGAATTAGCACCATTTATAAACATTACACACATTAGCACTAGAAATGCTTACTGATTTTCATCTTTCCTTGAGTAATCACTTAACCTCAATCAACATGTCAAACTGAGATTTGCTTGCTTTGTTTTTTTTATCACTTGTACTTTTCATTTTCATTTTTTTTTATTTTTAGGCAATTTGGGGTAAGTGACTTGCCCAGGGTCACACAGCTAGCAAGTGTCAAAGTGTTTGGTCTGAGGTCGGATTTGAACTCAGGTCCTTCAAGGCCGGTGTTCTATCCATTGCGTCACCTAGCTGCCCCAATCACTTGGTGAACTTGGAGCATTCATTGTCCAGGTTTGTAGTTAAAAATCATCATCTAAGGCTTCATTACCTAAAGAAAATAAAGATGAAATTTTGCAAGGAAAGAAAAGATTTTAAAAACATATTGATGTTATAGTAGGGCTTGTTCTGATTCTGCTCACTTCAGTGTGTTTCCAGGTCTCCTTGAGGTCCTCAATTTCCTCATTTTTTTATACCATGGGAGTACTATGTCACATTCATATCTCACAGTTTATTTAGCCATTCCCCAATAGACAGACAGTTCTCAAGGGAACAAATCCATCTATAGCCACATGAGAAGAATGTTCTAAATCATTAATAATTAGTGTAAGGTCCCACCTCATGCCCATCAGATTGGCAAAGATGACAAAAAAACAAAGAAAATGACAAATATGGGAGGGACTGTGGGAAAACTGGTACCTTGTTGTAGAGCCATTAATGACTCCAACCAGTCTTGGAAGCAATTTGGAATTATATACAAAAAATTACCAAGCAGCCCATGCATGCCCTTGGACCCAGCTATATGACTGCTAGGCAAGAGTATACTCCAAAGGCATTGAAGAGAGAGGAAAGTCCTTTTTATACAAAAACATTGGTAGCAGCTCTTTTTGTGATAGCTAAAACCTGGAACCTGGAGGGTCTTGCTTTCTACTTGGGAGTCAGGGTGGGAAATATGCATCTATAAATAAATCCACGGTAATGGAGGAGGGGAGGGGAATTAGAGAGGGAAGACCGAGAGGACCGCTAGACACCTTCTCCATCACCGAAGACCTTGCACAGGAGGTGGCGTCTGAGCAGACCCTTTTAAAGGAGCCGGGGCTTCTTTTTTCCACTTCCATTTTTTGTTGTTGCATCCTCCGTACCTAGTACAGTTCCTGGCAGGCACAACATTTAAAAAATGCTCGTTGTATTGGATTGAACTGAAAAGGCAGAAATGGAGAGAACCCTGAAGTCTGTGCAAAGACCCATAGGGAGAAGAAGAGTGTCTGAGAGGTGACAAGGGGTGAAAGTTTCTTGCTGGTGGTCACCTGGCTAGTGAGTAGTGAAGGAAGGGCTTGAACCCTGCCTTCCCCCCAACCCCACCCCAGGCTAACCCTCTTTTCAGAGTGCTGCTAGATTTTGTAAGCACCATCCTTTGGTGATTCAAAAACCAAGAGGGTTCCTGGGCCTCCAAAATGCCTTACAAAAAAGCTCTGGTTTCTCTTCACAATCTCTCTTTCTGATGATTCAGAGTCAGGGTTAGTTAGGGTAAAAGTTTCTGGAGATCCAAATAGTGCCTCCTGACTCCCCTACTCAGCGTTTGAAAAGGAGGAGGAATGCCTAGCCACATATTTCCAACCTCGTGTCTGTTTCCTAGAGTTCCATGTGGCCCGTGCGTCTGCACAGACATGTTGGTTAACAACAGCTGTTGAAAGAGACAGACAGTGTTCACTGGCCGAGGTCCAACTTGGGCAATTACATCAGACCCACCTAAGCTTCCCCTGGGATTATCGATTAGATATGGGAGGCTTCGAAACCCCCCTTCTCCTCATCTGTCACCTGTTGCCCTGTCAAACACTCATAACATTCCACCCCAGAGGCAACTGGCTGCCCTTTCATGATGAGCAGGCTGTCCCTTTATCCTTCTGAAATGATGGGAACCCCCTGCTGCCGATTTCAATCTGTTCCTGGGAGTGTCCTGAGGGTCTCTGATGCCTTCCTGGGCTGACCTGCTGAGCTGTGGGAGACATTCATTATCCTTCCCTGATTTGCAAACAGCCCAGATTTAAAGCCACAAACACAATTAATCCTTCAGGTTGGGGGAAGGCTGACCCTTTAATAGAAATTCCCCCTCCCTCCCCCTCTCCTCTCCAACCCTGCACAGACGTACATAGGGCAGGGCCAGAAGTGACTTTTATAAATAAGTCATGAGGCTCATAAAATTCTCAGTTACAAAGAACCCAGGGACCTCTGGTTTTCATCAGATCTGTTCTTGTAAAACTGCCAAGACGCTTCCTTGATGCTGAGTGAGAAATGCTTGTAGACTCTGCTTCATAGATAGTCCTTCATATTTCTAGATATGAATGGAGGCTGATTCTAGCTCTGGCCTTCTATATTTTAACACTCTGGATCCTCAGG